GCATTAGGTGTGTGCGTGTATGTACATGTCGCGACCGAGTTTTCTGACGACTGTTAAAAAGAGTTATGGACCGTTGTCACGGACTGATTCAAACGCCATAGTTATTTGCATTTATAATTTGTTATCATAAGGGCTACCACTGTTTTTATCAAAAGAAAAGAAATCGATACCACTGTGATTGGTCAGTACATATGTAGTATCGATATTCGATTTTGCTGTGGACTTTTATGCAAAAAAAGCCAGGTGTACCTACATTTATAGAAGGACCAAAGTTTTTCTAGAATATATCATTTGCCAAATAGTATCACATAATTTAGTTTGTAAACAATTAAATTCACTACACTTCTATATATTTAAAATAATTAATGTGGACAGTGTTCACCAAATTAATCATCCTATGGTGAAATATATCTTGGACAACATCCAAATTGCCCATACCGTTTGTTAATCAATCCGTGTTTGATAGGATCTTTATTATTAACGGCATGTTTGACAGTATCAAAGTGAAAGAAAACAGCTGAAACAAGACTAACCATTGGCATATGGTGGTGTCTCTTTCTTAGTACTTGTCTCTTAATCTCTACTTGTCTCCTTTTCCTTCTTCACTACTATTTATTCTGAAAAGCGCCCTTTATTTTATAAAAGTTTTTTTGTTAATTTGTTCAATTTAAGTTATACATCTCCTATATATTATTTGGAAAGTGATTTTGTCACATGTCATCTCTACAATCAGTTTTACAAAAAAAAAAGTGACATGACTACTAAAATTGATGACATGACTTATCGAAAAATCTGACATGAAAAATTACATTTAATGTTGATTTATATTTTTGGTAAAATTTTTAAATATGGTAATAATGCATACTTAAACATTTAATGTTGATATTTATTTATGGTAAGAAATTTAAAATATGGTAATACCTCATACACAATCTTTAAAATAAATATATTCAAATATAACATTACAAATTGGAAATATTCTTCTATTTTATTTTTATATTATACAGTTTATATTACTAAATTTTTTAAAAATTGCTACAATTTTTAAAAAAATATAAATTTCTAATCGTAAAATCATTAGTTTCTTATATTACTACAAATTTTGTAAATACTGTTTAGTTTAAATTTTTAATAATTATACCATTTTATATCACTTTTTTAAGTTTATACACATTAACTCAATATATTTAAGCAATATAAATGGATAGAAAAATCTATCTAAGATTAAAATTTTAAATATGTACATATATATTCTTCAATATTATTTTAAATAAACAAAATTATTTTATCTTAATTTAATGTTTAACTAAATCAAATATATATTTAAATATTGGTAAGAAAATAATAAAATCTATGATATTAATAAAATTTATTATTAAATATTATTTAAGTTTAAAATTTTCTTACTTCACATGCTGTAGAATAACACCTAGTTCTTTTGAAAAAAACCATCCATTCTAAGCATCGCCTAAATATGCAATTTTTTCTATATCTTTTATTTTTGTGAGTAGTTATAGCCTGAAAAAAAAATTGTTCAGACCATTTTCGTATTTGACCAGAAACCCCCAGTTGGCAGATGTAACCATTATCAATATCATATTCAGAAGTGTCGCAGAGCAGTACGATCTTTCTGCACTGAGATTAACAGAATGCCCTACGTACTCTCTTTTTCCTTCTTCTCTTCTTTTTTCAATCAGTCAATCCCTTTGAAACACATATCTATATGTATGTATGAAATATTTAATTTTCTGAATAAAAATCAAAAGTTATGCAGCTTTAGTTAATTTATTTATCCGGCAGAACCAGCGTTTATAATTATTGTAATTTTCTTACCATTTCTAATATAAAATTATATATATTAAAGTTATTTTCTTTGTGAAATAAAATATGGGGAACCACAATAATATGTTTTTTGAGAAAAAATCACAATAATATGTTGCTTTACAGTTTTGGAGAACTTGCCAGTGTAGGGACTTGCTGACTTGCTTTGTCTGTTTTTTGTGCGAATTATCTTTGTTACTTTGTTAGTAAAATCTAGTACTGGCGTTAGAGTTTTTTTTCTTCTCGTTCCTAGCAATTCTAAATCATTAAGTCGCAAGTTTTTGAATGTTGGGTTTGTTAATAAACATCATGTCAAATGTAAACATAGTCTTTCATAAGTACTAAAGAGTTGATACAACTAGCTAGGGGAATAAAAGGGAACTCGTGTTCTCACAAATAAAGAAATTTTAAATTAGAATCGAAACAGTTTTTTTTTTTCTTTTTGATCAAACAACATTCATTAGAATCGAAACAGTTTCAAAACAAAATTAAGGATGCAATCCTTTAGAGAGAGAAATGAAGAAGCATGCAGTAATGTTAGACCATGTCTTCAATGTATATAACGACACTTCATCGGAAAGTATAAAATGTTAATAATACATCTGACTTCGAGTTATCCTGGACGATGCAATTAAACTGCTCATTGTAAGTTCTTAATTAAATCAAAGAAGTATCGGCAGTAGCTTTCGCCTAAACTAAATATTGGTAATGGCTCATGAAAGGTAACACGTCCACATTAACAGTAACATAGGATCCAATTCAATTCAAAGAAGAAGTACTCACTCTTCAACTGTGATGCGTCCCCATGGCCCGATTTTGGCGTGTGATGTCGCACAAACATCACGTGTGTTCTCTTTCTTGTACAACACACGCGCACGATCGCAATTAGTTTATCAAACAGTCCCAAAGACTTTGGTAATATATATGCTTGCTTTGGTTTCGGTTCAGAGCAAAAGGAAAAAAGGATAGGAACATACACCACATCAAACAAACTTGGAGGTTTTTTCTATGTTTAAGTTGGAAAGTGACTCCCATGAGCATCGACTAAGAAAGAGAGATTCAATTCAACTATTGGTGTAGTCATGAATATTAAATTGTTAGTTCAAATAATTCAAAAACTAAATAGTTACCTTATTCAATTTATATCACTTAGCAAAATAAATATTTAAGGGAACATCCCAGTTTTAGTACTTAAGAAACATTTGTTCATCAAGACGGTTAGATTAGGTCTGGTTGGTTTGGGTATAGAGAGTTTTTTGTAGCAATTAGATGCAACATGGAAAAGATATGGTAATCAAAAGAAGTGAAGCTAGCGAGGAAACAGAAATGGACAAGGAAATGAGAGTAATGAAAGGAAGTGGAGAGACAGAGAGGATAAATGGTGGGAACAGATCACGAAGACACACACAAACTCATACTGTTTTTGGAGTTTCCAAAAAGAGATGACGTGAAGGTAACCAAACAGTAAGCCTGTATCTCTCAATTTTCAAAGGTGAATGATTCAATGACCCATCTAATCTCATAGCCCTCTTTTCCCCTACGAACGCTCTATACCAACCTATTTTCACATCTACCAACAGAGTTTGTCTTAAATTCTACGTACCCTCTTTAACGTCATTGGTATATTTGGTTACAATCACACTACTTATTTATTTCCATAACCGGGCTTAATCCAAAAATCTTAATTTAACCGGTGCCTTCAACTAATCATTGGTAGGTTTTCATGTGATATTTTAGGGTTTGAATGAATCAACTAGTCCATATAATCTTCGGAACGAAAGATTTAGTTCGCTTTTCTCAAAATATACCATTTCCATTTTTAAAATAGATTTTTTAGTATTTTCATATTAAGAAAACATATTAAATCACTATTAGATTTTTATTTTTTTTTAATTATCAGTTCCCAATAACTTTTAACTAATAGTATTCAGTAAATTTCTTTTTTAACTGAAAATTAATAAAAAGAATATTCATATACGCAGCGTAAAGAGACATAGCTGCCCATGACCTTGAGAAACAGAGATTGCCTCGAAAGTGCCCTAATTTTTCAAGTTTTGATGTTTTAAAAATTTACAATTTTCTATAAGAAGCATAAACCATTTATCTTTGTAAAACAATTCAAAACATTAGCAGAGTTAGTTCTTAAGGTGGGTTGTACACTTGTACGTGTAACTTATAAAAAAAATGTAAATAATATTTATTAATGTTACAGAAAAAATGTCAATAACATTTATTAAATTTACAGAAAAAAATTATTTAGTATTTTAGATATCAGTCAGTTTTAATTTTAAACAACGCTTTATATGGTGGGGGCACGAGCCGGCCTATTGCAGCATGTAAAATAAGGCCCTGCTGAGCTGCTTAGTACGGTTATTTTCTGCGTGGATATATATAAAATAATATGGAAGGACAATAATGAAGAAAAATTGAGGCTAAAATAAAATAACAATTACTTTATGAATAATATTAAAGAATAAAAACGAAAGAATGTGACAAGTAGTGGGACGTAAGGGAGCAGCAGAAGACAAAGGCTAATCCATGAGATTCTGTTAGTGTGTTCCCTTGGCAGAGCAATATTTTGAATATTTTCCTTGCTCTAAATCTCATAACCCTACCAATTTAATACGGCATCAAACTCATGGGCTCATCTAAATTTGATTGATGATTAGATTTTTAGTTGCATGGCAAAGGTTATTTTCCAGTCAGCTCTATCTTGATGAGTAATGACACTTTATAATTTATATAATGACTTAACCACCAATAAAAATATATATTAAGAACAAAACTATATATAAACACTAGCAAATTATTTACAATATATAAAACTAACAAATTATTTATTTGTCATATACAAATATAAGTTTTTTTTTTTTTTTACAAATATAAGTTTACACAACGAATACTAATGATTAGTAATATTATCTTGTAGATTTTAGATTGTTGAAACATCGAAGGCAAATTATATTTGATTCTCCAGATGTTATGTTTGATATCAAGTATTGACAAAGATTGCTCAAAAAAAAAAAGTATTGACAAAGCAAAGATAACAAATTTCATTCGTTATGGTTTAAATAGAATTTTGTTCAAAGTTTTTTTATTAATACCCACTCATTGAAAACTGTACTTCATTGAATAAATAGATACTATATGGAGTATAATTTAAACTTTGCACATAAATACTACTCCTATTAAAAGAGTATTGATATTAACTTACTGGTTGAAAGAAAACCTAGTTTTGGTGGTTCGAAGATATATTGTAGAAACAGTTATGCATTAGAGGTAACCTTGATCACCAGTTACACATTGATAACACCAATCAGAATTCACTATGTAATCAAATAGGTACCATCTCTTTCATCAACGGAATATACGACTCTAAGAGCACTTTTAATGGTGGATGAGGAAGAGTGTTTCTACGTTCATATATTGTTAAACAAACTAAAGTAAGAGAAAAAAAGACATAAAATTGTCAAAAAAGAAAGTATCTCTGTACACACTTTTTCTGAATCCGTATAGAATTTTTGATGTTTAGTTGTCTATTTTTTTTTTTTTTTGACGAAAAAAGGGTTAAACCCGGATCTATTAAAGACACAGACCTAACCCCGAGTGGAGGTACAGCCCACGGATAGACCCTCTCCTGAGCATTCAAATGGATCGAAAGCAATAACCCATATCCGTGTGGCCAGTGGGATTTGAACCCGGATTCGCCTTATTGGGTTTATTCCCTCAAGCGTCACTAGGCTACCACCACTGGTTAGTTGTCTATTTTTCATTGGTTTTGTTTTACTATTTTAATTAAAACTTAATTACTTAAGAAAATTACAATAAAGTAATAATAATCTGTGAAGCTAATACTCAAATTCAGATACTAGTCGATGGTGATGCTCTTATGACTGATATGAATCTCGTCGCTCATGTAGCCAATAGCCATGCATAATAGTGACGCCGTTTTGGGTATTCAGGCTGCATCTTAACCAAAGTCCGTTAAGAGTGTCGCAATAAGAATTACAAGTAGGACAAAAAGTACTACTTACATGATAATATTTATTAAATATTTGAAAGTAATATGAGTGTAAGTATGGGTAAGATGTGATGTCTAATGCAAATACCCACTTCTTGTTGTATAAAGGACACTTACCTGCCCCGCCGTTCCATGTTTTAATGCTCACTTCTTCCATCTGTTAAACGGAAGGAAACATAATCTAACACAACTTTCTAAACCTCATATTATCATATCATGTCTTTAATAAATAACTCAACGTGTATACCAATCTAAATCTAACCAACAAGTACTAGTACAAATACATACATATGCGCAAAGCAGGACTTTTGAATCAAAGCAAATAAAAATAGGATCTGGAAGTGGGTTTCAAATCTTCATGAATAAATCTTGTTGCCCAAAAAAAAAATGAATAAATATTCTTTTATTAAAGATCTTGATCTGTACTTTGTAAAGATAAGTGATAATATATATAGCTTTATTTCACTCTGGGTAATAAATCTACCTGCAACAACATCGTTTGAATATTTCAAATTTAAACATTAAGGTCGTGCTATGTGTTTTAAAGTCCAGAACAAAAGACGTAATAGTAGCTGCATCAAAGAACCGGAGGAAAGACGTTCAAAAGTAATATTTTTGAGTTTTTTTTTCTGTTTTATTAAAAAAAAACTAATAATTTTATCATTCGTGGACCACCACGTGTCGTGGGGTCCGCGAAACAGTCATGACTCGGTATCATTCAGACGATCTCACGCGAGGCAGATTCACCAGATTTAGATTATTTTAATATATTTTTTTCGAAAAGCTTGTGAACTTCTTCTTTAATCCTTCGATGCGGCTGCTCTAAGAGACACTTACTCCGAAACCCAAATAGGAAACAAACTAAATGGGGTAGTTTACAAATAGAAAACAAAGCAAATGGGGTTGTGGTAATTGGTAACTTTAGTAAAAAAACAAGTGAAAGAAAGGGTGACAAACAATAGTTGCGGAGAGAAAGAGTAGTGGTAATTGGTGATGTGTGTTACAGCTCAGCAATTATAACTCTTGCAATAAGCAAGCTGAACCTCTCAGCAGCGAAATTTCCAAATCTAAAGGTAACCTAGGCAAAGAGAGGTCTAGGTTGTAGCTAACCTGACCCTCTGATGGATCCAGAGTGTATGGATGCTTTCAGTATATTGGAAGGACAGGTGATGCTACATCATCTATGAGATCAGAGTTTCAACAGTAAATCTCATCAGATTTTAGTCATGGAATCAAGACTCCTTTTTTGCAAAATCCAATAACTAAGACCATCTTTATCCCAAAGACCCATTTAGGGGCTCTTATTTTTTGTTTAATACTTTTAAATAGTAAAAGTGAATTAAAAGACAGCACTAAGAAACCTAAACATTTTTATGCTCCATTGCAAGTCTCCTAATTAGGGGTTTCTAAAAAAAAATTATCAAACATTTTGCATAAATGTGCCAGTTTTAATTGCATGAATGTACCAGAAAACTGAATCAAACATTATCAATCTTCTTACTCAACTAGGCACAAAGGATTGCAAAAAAAAAAAAAAACTAAATTACCTTGTACATGGAGAGGTTGTATGACATTTGACTGAAAGCTTGAGCGTTTTGCTGTAAAAGAACCATTACTGCATCACTTATACATGAGACGAAGAGTACAGCAAAGGTAACTAACTGATAAGACTCATCTTTTTCTATTTGAGACCACAAAACACATGAGAAGAGAACTAAACCTTCAAAAGGCATGTGTGTACTGCGGTAGTTATTGTTCATGGCATATAAAGCATTTTACTGAGGCAGATTGGCTACTATGTTCAGTTCTGTGGATGCATCCACCACCTTACCATAAAGAAGCATGGTTTTTAAAGCCAAGTTCTAACAAAAGCAAACCAAACACATATAATAGACTTTATCCCAATGTCATAAAAATTATTATCCATCTACACCTCAGAGCTACATCCCTTACAGTTTTATCTGGTGTTCTTTGGTTAATGCATGATCCAAAATCAATATCCAAAAATCTAAACTTTACTCCGCTTTCAAGGAGAGCTCAGAAAAACAGAGCACAAGGAAGACAACTCAAACAAAAACAAGCAAAGACTTTCATCGGAGGGAATCAATCCCACAAACAAAAAACAAAACTATACTCCTTTATTGCTCATAATTCAGAGAAACTATCAAAACCTCTAATGCATCATTCAACAATCAGCTCAAAACAGAGCACAACAAAGACAATTCAAACACACACACAATAAAAACAGTGACTTTCGTCAATCCCACAAACAAATCTCTGAAGGGTTGAGATTTTCAGCAACAATGGAGGAAGAAGAAACAAAACGAAGAGCGAGTGACCAAATATTACCAGTGGTTAAAGCCTTAATCATGCCATTCCTACGATCCATAAAATCCCTATAAACCTCCTCCATCGTGTGTGGGTTGTACGCGGCACCACCACCGTCGCCACCTCCTCCGTCCATAATCTAACACAGAAGAAGTATATTCGGAATCGCCATCGCCTCGAGAGAAGATGAGCCGGTTGAGAGAGAGAGATATGTTGAAGGAATGACACGTGTCCCTTGAAACCCCGTTTCTTCCGCTCCTAATTAAGCTACGTTTTCAATTTAATTAGCTAATTTTTCTTTTTTTTTTAAACAAAAACACCTAAATACGCGGTGCTGAATACCGCGATAAAGATGGTCTAATGCACCAATGCTCATGATGGACCTAAACAACCTATTTAAAATGTTAATAGATATAAATAAGCAAGACATAAGTAATGTTCAAACTTCAAAGTCAGACACAGATTGTCCAAGTAGTAAAAGCAACTAGATGTGATGGGTTTTGGCAAACTCTGTTATTATTGATAGGATTTGATTGATTATCTTCATAATTTGGAATGAAATTAATTAGTGTAAAAGAAATAAAAGCAATTATGTAAATCTTGACGTAGTTTTTTGTATTATACACAAAAATGTAAGAACAACGATTTTGATGACGTACATGTCTCAGACATTCATCCCTTCAGGAAAATTTCATTGTTTTCATAACACTGCTGTTAGATGTCTATATACATAAAACAATCACAAAATTATTACGCTATGGTGCATATACTGTATTACACTATTCGTGACTTCTATACTATATCAACTCAGTTATATATATATATATATATATATATATATATATATATATATATATATATATATATATATATATATATATATATATATATATATATATATATATATATATATATATTTTTTTTTAATTATCATTTTAAATTTGTACATACAAATTAACAATTATTTAATTTTATATATTTTCTACTCAAAAATATTATTATCTATATAATTAATCATATTTAAACCGATAGTAAATAAACTAGAAAACATAAAGAGTCATATATCATACTATAAACTAAATAAATTTTAATATAAAAACTCTAAATTAAACATTTTTCTAACAAAAATTTATTTTACAATGATAATCAAATTGAATTGGAGAGACTACTATATATTCTCTCTGTCCTTTTTATATGACGCTCTACATCTTTGTACAAGAATCGAAAAAGCCAACATAATACATATTTTAGTTATTTTCCTTAATGTTAAATTAACCTTTTTTGACTGAATTCGTTTGATAGTATAATGGTAGAAAGTCATTGTTTATCAGATTCTAAATTGAATTTCGCAAACATCAACTAATTTGACACAAGAAGAAAATAATCTGTAAAACGTCAAGTAAACGAGAACGAAGGGAGTATTTAAAATTTCCAGTCGTATTGGGAAGCTGCACATTTAAACAAACTATTCACAACTGTTCTTGGCATACATCGTAATAATTCCTCTCTTGAGAAAACCTAGATATCCAAACTCCAAGCATTTAACCTATTGATCTCATTAATAATTACCGACTAGGTAGTAATCCGCGATAGTTTTAGATTATTGTATATTATATTTTTAGGTTTATTGTATAATTTTTTTTGGTATAAATATTCATATATCTATTCGAATTCAGTTAGTTTATTCAGATTTCAGTTTTTTAAAGTTAGAAATTTAAAACTTATTCGAATATTTCCTAATTTTAGTTAACATTTGATTAAAATCATTTCAGGTTCAATTTAGTTTCGAGTTCAGATGTCCATTTTAATTACATACTTTTAACAAAAATCCAAATATACTCAAAAGTCCTTAAAATCCAAAATAATATAATATAAAACATAAAAATGTGAATATTATAAGACTAAATATTTCAATTTGTACTAAATTTAGTTCAATTTAAATATTTAAATAAAAACAAATAAGTACTATGAATATTTACAGTTATGTTTAGATAATTACTTGTGATTATGTTGGTAAGTTTTAGATATTTTCATATTTCTGAATATCTAACAGATATAAAATTTAAAAATAAATAATATACTTAAGTATATATTTTGGTATCTAAATTAGTTTAGTTTGTAATAGATTCGAGTCTGGTTATATGGCTATTAAAATTTTAGATCCATCTGATTACATAATTAGTTTGAGTTTGTGTTTAATATTATTATTAAATCTAATTCCGTTTGGTTCATCGGATCCATATATTTACCCATACTTATATAAAGAAAATTAAACCTAAAAAAATTATCTTGACTTATTTAACATTCATAATCATTAGACTATATTTTGAGAATAATAAAATGCTTGGACGTCGTGTTAATATTGTTGGGCATGTTACAAAATTGACATAGGCTATAATCAATAACGTGTATTTTCTTATAAGAGATTCTTGGAAACTATAGTAAAACACTCTACAATCGTGCGAAAGGGACTAGAGTTACGTGTAAAATAATGTGATCTCTTCACTCGGCACATGAATTCTGTTTTCAATTGATAACACGAATTTTCATTCCGTTTAATTTTTTTTTTGATTTTTTCTAGTAATCTGATTATGTTTCTAATTCTAGGTATGATATAAAAATTTCATAAAGAAAATCAATATTTGGCTAAACTAAAGATCCGATTGACTTCGTGTAGAGTGTTTTTTTATTTCGGTTTTCTTAATTCATAACCAATCACAATTATTTGTTGTTTTCGTGAATATAAACCTCAACCATAGCCAAGTTCTGTAAGATATAAAGTTTTCATTTTCTTAGAACAATCTCATTCCAACATTTTAGTTGATGTGAATCTTAATGATTTTTTAATTTATTTTTTTTTAAAATGATATTATTCAGTATTTGCGAATAAAATTTTAGTTGATTTCAGTTCACTATTAAAAATGTTAAAAGTGCATGAACTAAAAATGAGCCTATTGAAAAAAAAAATGTGAACACATTAAATTGTCACAGTGTAGTTACAAAAAATTTAAGTGTGAACTCATTAATTGTTAAACGGTTGTAAAGACGACACGTCAGCATATTTAAAGAATATTGTGTAAGCGCATTATTAAGAATTAGATGATAATCCGTACGTATGCGCGGATTGAGCTTTTTACAAATGTTTGTATCTTAAATTATCATAGGCTTGGACGTTTGAGGTCTCGTCTGTTTTAGTTTGATTGAGACGTATTTTTAGATTTTGGTATTATGCTCATAAGTTCCATTCGATTTTTACTAATTATCGGGTTGGAAACGGTTTGGTTCATTTCCAATTCAGTTTGGATTGAATTGTAACCGATATCTAAAATCATCCCAAAATATATTTTTAAACTTCATAAGTTGAGAAAAAAATCAAATACTAAATTATTCATAAATCTAATTTAAAATTAGTTAAACTAACTAAAAATATTAAAAAATAAAAAAAATTTAAAATATCTTTTGAATACTATAAAATATATAAATTACCTTAACATATATAAAAACATTAACATATTATACATATCATAGTTCGAATTTTTGTTTGGTTCATATTATAACCAAAACCCAAAGTAATAAGCTCATAAGTACAGTTTGGATATTTTTGAATAATGGCTCGGATCCAGATTCGATTTTTCCGGTTCAGGTTTAGGTATGTACTTTGGCTTAGGGTAAAAGCCCCTGACCTAATGTATAACTCATTTAATTATTTTTAAGACTTCATATGCACAAAAATAAACTAAGTTTTGCTATAAATTGACAAAAGGGGATTAGGTTTTCTGCTCTTGATTTGTTTACTATTAAGTCTCCATAAATGATTTAATTTTCTAGCTATACAAAATTGTGCTTTTGTTCTCGTCTCTATTTCCTTGATATGAGTTTTATTTTTCTTTTAAATTCTTTTTAAATTCGGTAAATTACATAAGTGTCAATATAAAAAGATGAACATATGTAAAAATTAGTTCCACTCCAGATAAATATCTAAGAATCAAAATTTTGAATAAAATCATTGGCAAACTCTATTCACATGTTAGTGTTCAAATCTAATATATCTAGATGTTATAGAATTTAAGTGGAGACTCAAAATATAAATGTGTGTCTAGTATATATTCACCAGTTCGGTCTAAAAATCATCTAATTCTAACAAAACAAAACAACTAACAAAACAAAACAAATTACTTATTTTATTAACCTACGCTTTTAAGATTTAGTTTCTTAAGAGTATAACGATAAAATATATATGTAATACTTTACCATTCTAGTATATATATAAACCATGTATAAACTAAAACCTTTTGATTTATTAAATAAAAACCAGAACACTTATGATAAATAGTTCAAATCTCTCACTCTTAATATTATAATAGCTAGATAGGGTATCATGGAGAAACAAATATTATACAAATGATAAAATCTATCATTCTTCGAGCAAACTCAAGAGAAAGTAATTGAAATCATATCATGATATTTCATTAAAATCCTTTTAGGAATAAATATAAAGACTAAAATATTTAATCTGAATGAAATAATATATATATATATATATATATATATATATATATAATGCTTCAAATATTAAAAACTATGTCCATTTAAAAAAAGTGTAGTTCTGGATTTGTCAAGATCAAATGACATATTAGAAACCACATAGTTAAAAATTAATTTGTATACATAGAAGTATATACATGAGAATACATTTTGTTAATTTACAATCATGTTTTTAGTAAATAAATCAAAGCAATCATTTTATTTACTTTATATGGTATATAATTAAACTTTAGTGATATTGACATAGATATATATGTAGTATATTTTAATATAAATATTAATTATTGATATTTTTGATTCATATGATTTTATTAATATTTGTATATTTGTTGTAACAAATAGTAAAATCATAATTACTAGAATTTTAATGTGGGATTTTCGCAATACAAATTTCAAAATTAAAATATTAAGATCTTAAACATTGTTCACTGAAATTTTTAAATTAACATATAATAAGGGGTTTTTGCAAAATCAACCTAAAATTTCAAGTCAAACACAAAACCAACCTCTTTTTTTTTGTCCATTACTATTCACTCTTAAAAAACCTAAACTCTCCTCATGTTTCCACTTATTTACCAAATTGCCATTATTTTTAAATCTGATTTTATTTTCGAAAATTATTAAAAACCTATTACACCCTAAACATTTCTCCTTATTTACCATAATGCCAT